ATGAATATGCAGATATGCATTTTTGTTTATCAGAAACCTTGGGGAGGAACGTACCAACTATCGGAGGCCACTTTTTTCAAAACAATATTTTTTTAAATATCTAAAACGTATTTTAATTTCTTGTATAAAAAAACAGAATGAGAATTATCATTATTTATTAACGCATTTTTTATATAGGTGATATTTTTTTGTATTTGTGATAACATAGAAGCATTTAAATGAAAAACTCTCAAAATCCAAGTCAAAAATATTCATTTAATAAACGAAATAAATAAAGGCGATCTAACTAATCACGTTCAGACTGAAAAATGTTTAAAATTACATTTAAAACTAGGTCAGAAATTTAATAAAACTTCCTATAATTAAAACAAACACAACTCAAGGAGTGTGGTCGAGGAAATGAGGTATATTAAATAACCTGGTATACGGCTGACACTGTTACAGAATATTTACAGGATAAATCTGAAGTTAATTCAATTGTGAAGTGAATTAAAAGATGATCAATCGATTTTAAAAATATCAGGAATAGGTATTGTTAACATTGTATTGTTAATGAGGTAAATTAAATAACCTGGTATACGGCTGACACTGTAACAGAATATTTACAGGATAAATCTGAAGTTAATTCAATTGTGAACTGAATTAAAAGATGATCAATCGATTTTAAAAATATCAGGAATAGGTATTGTTTAATCGTTAGAGCATTTCCCGAAGGATCTCTCATTTTTGGCAATACATGTACGCTTTAAGCGGTATTATTTGAAATTATAACGGAATTACGTTAGCATTACTTTAAACGCACGCGCGTTATATTCATAACCCAACTTAAATAATTTAATATCGGTTTCCTATTTAGTACAGTGGATTTTAGATAGTGTTTTCTAAAAATATATTTTACAAAACTAGAATGATTTTTTAAATAACAAATCTAAAAATGATTCATGGAATCATCTTCAAACCCTGGTATAATTTATTTGCATTTTTTAAAAGATATAAAATAATGCTGAAAGTTTTCAAAATGAATAATTATTAAAAGTATACCAATTGTAAGTTGAGAAAATAATTGGTTCTAAAACAAATTCATGGCGGTTGTAAGTCCATTATTAGAAATTTGAGATAAATAGGTAACCTACATAGGTAATTGTTACTTGATCTGTGGGTACATGCGTTCAAACAAATTTAAAATAATATGTGCAAAAGTAACCTATTCCACATAACTTTTGAAAGGTGTGCCATCAGGGAATGCGAATACAATGGTTTCTGTATGAGTAGCAACTATACATTTTCTAGAACCCCAATGATTAAAACACAAATCACACAATTTTTATATAATTTGCTACTGTATTATCTTCACTTCTATCTTATGTATTATCGTCACTTCTATCTTATGTATTATCGTCACTTCTATCTTATGTATTATCGTCACTTCTATCTTATGTATTATCGTCACTTCTATCACTACCGATTTTAGTAAGATTTCTACAAATTTACAAATTTTTAATAATTTGATGGAAATTAAATGATACAAGATTAGAAATTACGTATTTAATACATAAGCGCCACGGTGGTGACTAGTGATCGCTAGTAAACTAGTACACCGCCATGACTACGTAGTTTTTTCGTCGCGCAAGCATCGCCGCGCCGACCTTGGGGTTCCCAGCTTCGTCACGATTTGTTTTGTTTTTGCTGGTTAAGTGTATGAATCAAAATATAGACAAAAAGAAAATGAACCTTGACTGGTCATAGGAACCAGCCTTATCTGAAGATTCTGAAGTTATTGTCACTAATAGGAATCACATTATTGATATTTATAATAGGATATACTATTATCAATGTTAAAGTCTGGTTATTTTTAATTTTTTTCTTTTTAATATTAGAGTTATAAATGTAATAATAAAAGGTTTTGTTGTTTAGAATTTAGAATATGTTTTTATTTATGTTTGTGTTAAAATATTAATGTTAAAATCTGTTTATTTAATTATTTTTGTTTTTTCTTTTTAATTTGAGTTAGAACGGTTTTGTTGTTTAGTATATATGTTTTTGTTTTAATGTGTTTGTGTTAAAATTTAAAATATAGTTTTTGCAAGAAACAATACCGTTTTTGAATTAAATAATTAAATTTTAAAAATGATATATATCATGTGATATGATATTTATAGAAATGCCATATTTTCGAACTCTGTTAATGACATTGTCAATATACAGATTCGGTTATATAGGGTAAACGTTGCTTATCTATAGAGCCAATAATATAGTATGAAAACATACAACATGTCTAGGACCGTTTTGTAGTTATTTAGAGAAACTGAATTCTTGGATTCTTTTTTGACTATCGTTTTTAATTATTGACATACTGAAATATAACTACTTACTATTTGTTTTTGGTTTATCTTCAATTAAAATTGGTAACGCAACGGTTCGTTTTGTGAAACTACCCTCAGGTCGATTATTTCAAATACGGACCTGGAATTTTTATTATAATTCGTTATACTGCTTCTCATCCTGAGTACAACTAAGCGAGTTATTAGTTATACGTCAACATTTACATTCTCGACATTTAAGAACGGAAGAAAATTTTAACAGAAACTTTTCAAATAAAACTTTTTTAATAGGATCTTTGTTAATTAATTTTTTTTTTTAATAATCTGCCAAAAGAGATAAAGGCCTCTAGAAACTTGAATTTGGTTAAGAAAAACTAATATCTTATAAAATCAAATTAAAAAATTGATTATAAGTATATGTATATGTAAATAACCAAATACTGTATATAAAATAATGGCTATATAAGCTTATAAAACTGTGTAATTCATAAAACACTTTACCTAAGTTTTGAATACCTACCTATACAGCGGGATATATGCCGTCTTTTGAGTCCAGAGATGTTCAATAAATTATGAATTCAGATCCGTACTTAATTTTTGCATTAATGATTAAGTAATTTCTCGAAGCATTAGTAAAGTGTGTTATAGGTGACATGGTTGAACTCGGGAGGAAAACTAGTACAAAAAAAATTAGAATAAAAATTCCAGAAAAATATTATGAATAGTCTTTTATCTTGTCAAATGGTTATTAAACAGAATTAAAATTAATTTACTCGGGAATTACCTAGCAGTACCTACTTGGCATTACCAAGTATTACTTGGAATTATCTAATATTACTTGGCATTACATTCCGCATTACCTAGTATTATTTTGGCATTAAAGGTATTATCTACTTTGGTATTATAAAGAATCACTCGGTAATGCCACACAATTCGGCAATATAATATATACCTGTTATTGCAGAGTCAAATACCCTATTGGCATTGCCTTAGTCCACCCAACCTGAGGGGTAAACCGCAAAGGAAATTGGGTGTACCTAGATAGGTAATTGTGAGAAATTTGCAGGTTTAAAGGAATTGTGAACATTTCTGAATAATTGTTGGAATTGAAAGGGAATTGCGAATTGCAGTGAATTGGCGTGAAATTTCTCCAGGAGATTGTCGATAAATTGTTGAGGAATTCAGAGATAATTTAAAAGGAATTGCGGGAATTGGAATTATATGTACACATTTTGGCATTCGGTTTACCCGTCTACCCAGTCTGATAGGGTAGTTGGCCTGGTTTTATTTAAGAACATTACACAGGATCGTATTTTAGTTTTACGCCTCTGTAGGCGTGTAGAGAGGTAATATTTTCGCGGAAAATATCTAAATATATAAACCAACAATTTTGTAATGCGTTTGGGGCTGAGAAACGCGATATGTTATCTAAGCTACACTCCAAATTATGCAAAACTTTTTTTGTTGTTCAAAACGTGGAAAGCAGGAGAGAGCGTTTGCTGCTGCATTAAAAATTAAGAAAAGAATAAGGTAGATACGATAAAGAAATAAATACCAGGGATTGAGAAAAAATTGCTTGATCATCATTTTTTATGTACAAACCTAGGTGACAATTTTTTATATTCGTAGTTAAATACTGTAAACCAGATAAATGACAAAATAAAAATTATTTATTTTAAACAATGAATACGTAAACGACATTTAATTAAATTTTATTTAAAATGTAGTCACTCAAAACTTGTTCTAAAATTATGTATGTAGGAATTATGTAGGTAATATATATTATAATATGCACATTATTATACGAATATTACAAAAATGTACAATTACAACTATATAACAAGCACTATTTTTTATAAGTACGTATATAAAACATTGAAACTTTTAATATTACCCTGGTATCAACCACTTTTTACCTAACCTAATTCTCAAGCTATTTTAATACCAAAATAAAAGTATATTAGTGGAACTGTAACTCAAGAGCTTTGACATTTTATACTCTTGAAGAATTAAAAGCTTTTAAAATTTTTGTTTGATCTTCGGGAACATCAAAAATCTATAAAGGAACAATATTTTTAAGGTTAAATCTGAAGAAATGAACCTACTGGATGTGGAGAAATGACACTGGTATCCTGGTATCATTTATTATGAAAGAATGTGGACAAATGTCCGTAACTAATAAGTACCTTCTCGAAATCTGTACCTATTTATCTTGTGGGTACGAGCTACCTAGCCTGATTCAAAAGATCTCAGGTAAACAATCACGCTTTTGTGGTAGTGGTTAAGGTAGTAAATATTTTTGAAAAAAATTTGCTATACCCTTATGCCAATCACCTTTTGTTTATTTATTATTTGTGTCGAGTATTTGTGTTTATATTATAAAAGATGTTATAACCATGAAGAAAACATCGATATAACTAATATAATTCTATATAGGTAGTTAAGACTTATCTTGGTACAGATCAGGTTCATATAAAATCTACTCATCTTCCACGAATAACGCATTTTTAACTAAATGTATTATCATTTAATCAAAAGCTATATAATCTCCAATATATTATTAAAAATTAAGACATATTCTTACAAACGAGAGATTGGTATTTAAGATTGTTGGTACAGCATCCGTGTTGTCAATGTACTCGATAGTAGAGGTACTTTTTGAAATGAAACTAGACTTACCTAATATTTATGACAAAAATCATTGTAAATTGGACTAATGTAGTGTTGGTAAAATGAAATCATTGAACTTTAAAATCATCACATGTGCGAGTCCACATAACTTAAAACGAAAACACTGTACACTCACAAACTTATCTAAACACAAACTGAAACGGAAAGAAATTGGATATATTCGAATGAATACAAACTGTTATTCGATTCTTTTTAATCGAAATATTTCGTAAGTCATTCGATTCGATGTATTCTAGTCGATATTTGCACCGACCTATGTAGATGATATTTTGATTTACATAATTTATTCTGTTAATGTTATTCGTGTTAAAATGTAGGCGACCTACCCTGTTTTAATATAATTAAAATTAAAAGACCTGAAATTAAAATTCTAATTCAAAAGTAGCGCTATTTTTAATTCAAAAATTGACAATAGAATCGAAATGTTTATCGAACTTTAATGAATCTGCGCTGTGGCAAAACAGTCACTCGAAATCTCATGTTTATAGAGACCAGTGGCGGGGAATGGTGATGAGACTGATGAGTGATTATATTAAATAGCATTACAAATTTGGATATGGCTGGTTTTTTATTTTTTCTACATAAATATTGCAAAAGATTTGACTAATTGAATCCTCTTGTTCATAAAATGTTCAGTTCATACCTAAGATCTAAACAGAATCAATAATAGTTTTATGCAACCAGTATAACATGTAGATGTAATTTTGGTTACATGTTCATTGTTTTGATTTGTTCAGTTTTGTGGGTGGACTTTTATTTTGACGTTTAAAAAGAGGTTAATAATATAAAATAATCTGACGTTTAATATTACTTTTAGAAAGAAATTAATAAATAAAAATAACAGCAATATTATTTAAAAATGGGTGCAAGTAAGTAAATATTGAAATTATTGATTTCTTAGGAAGTTTATATTAATATTACTTATATGTACTATTTTATTTTTTTTTAGAAAAAGTAAATATGAGAGAGCTAGAAGCAGCTGCTAAAGCGTCTGCTACTACTAAAGTGATAAATACATTGAATAGGCCAGGACAATTAGAAAAAATTGACCAAATAAAACAACGATATGTTCGAAAAAAAGCTTCAGTTGAAGCATTGCTGAAGTCAGCAATGCAGCAACAGCTAGATGGTGTTAGAATTGGTTTGAATCAACTACACAGGTGTCTCGAAGAAGTATCTGAAATTAATATTAGGTACGTACCTAGTATTTCCGTTTCATTTATAAAAAGAGAATTTGTTTTTTTAGTATGAAAAAGATGTCAGACTTATTTTCTGATGTACCAGAGCTTAGTAAGGTACTCTGTGATATTAGAGATGAAAATATGAGGCATTCGCAATATGTAACAGCCAAAGAAAATCTGAAACATATTTTTACAGTCCCAGAAAGTGTAGAAAAGACAAAATCCTGGATTAATGAAGGAAAGTTACTTCATACACATCAGGTAAATATTTATGTAATCCAAATATCTTTATAGTGTAGTAAATATGGTATTTTTCCTGTAAAAAAAAGTCACTCTGTATTTTTCTTAGTGCTTGAGAGACTTGGAAAATTCAAGAGATGACTTACTATTTGAGCTTCACAAATTACCTAACCAATCTGTACATGATAAATCAATGTTAAAAGCATATTTTGCTGATGTAGAAGTACTATCCAGCTTACTAGAAAAACAGTTAACTATTATTTTATACAGAACATTAAATACTGTAAGAAAAGATCCTACAGTAATAGTTACTGCATTGAGAATTATTGAAAGGGAGGAAAAAGCAGATGAAGAAGCTCTGAAACAACAGAGACAAACTGGGTTTATCCCTCCTGGTCGTCCTAAAAAGTGGAAAGAGATGGCTTTTAGCATTATTGAGAAAACAGTATCTTCAAAAATTGAAGGTACTCAAGTTGAGGAAAGAGAAGATAATAAACACTGGCTGATAAGATATTTAGAACTTATTAGAATGATGATTTTAGAAGATTTAAGAATTGTCAAAACTCTTTGCTTACCGTGCTTTCCTCCAAGTTATAAAATATTAGATAAATATATTCATATCTACCATGGATGCCTTTCCGTACATGTGAGTTATACCCCCTCTAGGTCCAAATACATAAATTCAAATTTAATTTAATTATTTCAGCTGCAGGAAATTATACAAAATGGCCTTCAAGGTAATGAATATGTTACAATGCTGTCTTGGGTTCTTAAAACTTATCGAGCCAAAGACATGTTAGGTCACCCTGATTTAGTGACCTCTACTGAAAATTTACCTCCTTTACTTCCATCTGCTGTTATAGACAGATTAGAAGAAGACTATCTTAAGGTATGTTAAATATAACTGGCTATCTAGTTATTTGATTTGCCCATTTTTTAATAGAATATTGAAGCGAACTATAGTGAATGGATGCAAAATACTCTTAAATCAGAAAAAGAGGAATGGAGGATGAATACTGAACCTTATTCAGAGTCATATTCTCGTACGCCAGCCCCAATTATTATTTTTCAAATGATAGATCAGAATTTACAAGTAACCAAAACAATAAGGTATTATTAAGTGTTGAAAAGTTGTAGTTGTATTTTTTAATGCTTCATATTTTAGTGAAGAGCTAACATTTAAATGCTTGAATTTAAGCATTAGACAAGTTATAATATTCGCAGATGCTTTCAGGGATGCTATTATTGAATTTAAGAACAAATATTTTGAGGACAGGAAACAAGTAAGAAGTTGTACACTTATAACTTGAACTTAATTTTGATTAATTTTTATTGTAGGTCGTTTATTTCACCCAGTATATGATTTTAATAGTAAATAATACTTTACAACTTGTGGAGTTGGGGTGTCAATTAGAAAAACAGTATGTTACTAATAACAGTTCACATGAACTTACCAAGAATTTTGGCATGTTAAAAAGTACTTATATTGTAAGTATCTTTATATAGACATTTAATTTAAAAAAAAATAAATTGACCTGTTACACCAATAAGAATTTTGTTTTAGAAATTGAGGAATGACGCAGTCATGTACTTGCTAGAAGAACTTTTTGTAGACATAGACCAACATTTTGATAAATTGTTCACATCACATTGGTTCCCAACTAACCCTGCCGACACAATCTATGTTACAATAGAAGATTATTTCCAAGATTACAACCGATTAGCTGAAGCGAACTACAAATATGCAGTGGAATTATTATTAACCCTAGTGGGTAGAAAATATCTTACAGCTATGCTGTCTAGGCGCATATCTTTCAAAACTTTCGATGAATGCATGAAAGCTGCCCAAAAAGTTTCGGAAGAAGCCAATAGATTCAACAAACTCTTTGAAAATCTCAGTAATGATATAGAATGCGAGAACCCATTTGATGCCATCATTATGCTCTCTGAAGTGCTGAAAAGCGATGATGACATGTTATCCTTTGAGCTACATAGGGTGGTTGAAAAGTATCCTGATATTACTGATGATCATCTTTTAAGACTGCTGAACCTGAGAGGAGACCTGTCAAGATCAGATGTCAGAGATAAAGTTGTGCATGTAGATAAGCCTAAAGTTCTGCATAAGAGCACAGTGTTTAAGACCCTGGTGTTTCCTAAGCTTGTAAATATTAATTTAACTTTCTAGAGTAAGGCTTTATTGTTGCTTTAATTTTTTAGATAATAAATATAACTATGTTTAGTTTTGATAATTTATGTTTATTGTTGCAAAGAAACAGCTGTCAAGCTTCAGTTAATTTTTTTTATTAAAATATAATGAACATAATAAAAGGTACAAAACACAACAAATGAGATACATAATAAAGTACATCTAAATCACAGGAATTATTTATTATTTACGTTTTTAAAAAAATTATGAAGAGTAGGTTGGCCTTCAGACTTTGTCTTCTTTAATCCTACAGATCTACAAGGGCCTAGTTTCTTTCTTTTTATGTTAATATTCAAAGTACTCTGAAAACAAATAGATATGACAATAATTTAAACAATAATTTTTAAAGTGTACCTTTGAAGAACATGGTTGAGACATAGTTTTTGTAATTTTTTCCTCATCGGATTTAGTCAGATCGACTTCTTCTACAGTTTTTTGAGAAACACTTTCATCGAGTTTAATTTTTTCTAAAGCTTCAAGAGGAGAATCAATAGAATTATCAGGAATGTTTTCAGTATCATTTGAATTATTTACTTCAGTTTGAGTATCATTATTTTCAGATTGTTTTTCTTCATTTTGGTTAATTATTTGTGTTTCAGGTTGTGAGAAAAAGTACCTGCTCTTTACTATTACATTACTGTCTGTTTTTGTTAACTTGAACTTGCTTAGTTTTTTTACAAATGGATTATGATTTATTACTGGTGAGGTTCTCTCCTCATTTTCTTCCTGTTTTTCTTCAGGTTCTGGTTCTATATTTCGTTTCACAGGTTTCTGAAAGTATACTGCAATTTCTTGTTCAATTTTCATATCAGATTCTTGTTTTAACCATTCGTCATAATCATCATCATTGTTATTTATAACTTTATTTTTTTTTGGAGATTCTCTTTTTCTAAAGAGTAGTTGTTGCTGTTTTCGAGACATACTTTTGGAGAAAACTCCAGACCAAATACTATTTTTGGGTAGTTTCTAAAAATCAATACATACTTCAACTTCTGGGAGCTAAATTGTGGCCTAATGTAAATAATGATTATCCAAAGCTTTTTTGCAAAATTTTCTAACTAGAAAATCACTAAAGAGACAATATTTGGTTTCATGGTTAAAAATAACAGTGAATTTTCAACAATTTAAATATTTTTTTTATAACATATCAAATGAGACCATTTGAAACATCTCTTTTCTCTTTTATATAAATAACTTTAAAACTTACACTTTTAGTAGGAGACCAGTCATTTAATACTTTGTGGTTGCTGGGATGCAAATTACCTATTGCAACTTGGTATGCAAGATCGTCTTCAAAAATGTGTCCTGCATTTTTACAATATATAGGATTAGTACCATGTACAGCTGGATCTGTAAGTGGAACTAATTTCTTTTCATATGGATCAAATACTGTCTGGTGTCTAAATGTAGCATCTGCTAACATAAAGCTTTCTTTGTATTGATCAGTAATGCTTAAATGGCGCATATTTAAGTATCTTGGAACCTTGTCCAAAAACTAAAAAAAATACTTAATTAAACATATATATCAAACATATAGATTCGGAAATTGAAAAGAGGATCATACAAGCCAAATCAGCACAAGTGTAAGAATAGGTAATGTGTCATTCAGTGATCTTTGTTTGTTTTAAGCAAGATTGTATTATACCTTGTCCAATTCATTGTAAAATACAAGGGTCCACATTCAGATTTCCATATCTTATTTTTATTAAAAAGTAGTTTTTAAGTACTTACAATTAAGGGATTAGTTTCTTCAGTAAGTTTGATAAACTTTTCAGCCTTCTTTAAACCAATCCCCTGCAAGGAGTTGACATAATCACAACCTGATAAAATGCACATATACCTAAACTTATCAAAAGTGAATTTATCTGGCCTTAATTTCATTGATAATGGTATTTTTTCAGCTTCAACCAAATAACCACAACCCCTTATGTCCAATTTGTACAACACTTTTGTACAACCAAAGAGCATCAAATCAGAATCTTCACTTATTATAATTTCTGCTACCCCTAAAATTTTCATAAAGTAGATATTTGGACTTGTATTTGGATCATTATAACTCAAAATTGGGAAATATTCTAATACAGTATGATTCTAACAATCTTAACTTTTAAAAGTAAATATAAAACACTAAAAAATAAAGAAAAGAACTATTTGCATAGTAAAATCAATTTAGTAGTACAAATGTTTAAGAGAGTTCTCAATTATAAAGGCTTAATTTTTATACTTTACATATAGTTACATATAGTTTTTTATAAAATAAATTCTACAGTTCTAATAAAAATAGTTGGGGTTGCTTTGAAATTGGGATTTTCGCTTTATTTGAACAATTGCATTTTGTTTGCAGTATTGGAGGACCAAATAAAAAATTAGGTACCTTACCTTTGCGATTAAAAAATGCTAATTGTGCATCAGACTCATAGGGTGCCACAATGCAGTCAACACCTAATTTGTGACACTCTTTTATCACAGAAGAAGCCATTTCTGGTGTAATATTAATACTTTGCTTCAAATAAGTTCTCGCTTCATCAGCTTTACCTAATTTAAGCAGTTCAGTAGCTCTTTGTTTGGCTTTGTTTCGAGCCTCACGTCTTTTAGATTCAGTTTCAGACTTGGCAGGCAAATTTTTCCCATCAAAGACTAGTATGGGCTTAATATCATAGGACTGGAGAAGGTTTATGTATTTTATACAGTAATTAACTAAGCTGAAATTTAAAATAATTAAAACAGGTCGTTTAAAATGTGTTTTCTTACGATTTAGTGTCCTCTCCGCTGGCTAACTGAAAAGCACAGGAATTCGCTCCTTTATGAAGCCAACAATAGGTATCGATAGCCACTGTTGACCCCCTAAATTCAGAAACATGACAAGGTTTTGTGGCTTTTTCTAGGAATGGCAGTAGACCCGTTATTCCCATGTTATAATTGTTCTTGTATATTTAATATAAGTCTAAAATTAATTAATAATAATGGTTCTACATGGGATAAATTCAATAATTCTCTTTGAGAGATCGTTGAGTGAGGTTAAATTTCTGTTTGGCGCTACGAATATGAATTTAATTTGTTAGACTGTTGTTTTCGAATTAGATGTAGAGGAATTTCTTGTTTTCTTTTTGTCGGCCAACGTATGTTGAATAAAGATAGATATATAAAAACTGTACTCGTAGAATATACATAGAACGTGCTTGAAGAAGTCAAAGTCAAACTTCTAAAGAGACATTTAATGACAGTGACATTTGTGCCTTGATGTACATAACCAAACTTGGAAAAATGTCTTTTGCAAAAAAACAAACAATGTATGATAAATTATCGTAAAAATACCTCATTCACACACCAATTAGTAATAAATAGTTGTATTTTTTATAATATTAATTCACAATGATAACCTTATCACAACGCTTAAAAAGAAAAACGGAAAGCAATGAACCCACCTCATCAAGAGCCTCCATAAGAGATAGATTGCTTGTAAAAGAAGCTCAAGAAATGTCCCAATTGTTACCAACGTGCTGTTCTGTTGACTATATGAACGTTAATGACTTAAGTAGTTTTATTTTAATAGTAAAGCCAACAGAAGGATATTGGGAAGGAGGAACCTTTAGATTTGAAATAAATGTTACTGACGAGTATAACATGGTGGTAAGTATACCTAATCCATTTGTTATCATTATTTTACTGTATGTCCATTTTAGCCTCCTGTAGTTAAATGTGTAACCAAATTATGGCATCCTAATATCACTGAATCTGGAGAAGTATGCTTATCTCTCCTCCGAAGACACAGTGTGGATGGCATGGGCTGGTCCCCTATTAGAAGACTGAATGATGTAGTATGGGGACTTAATGCCTTATTCACAGTAAGTATACAAATGCTTCACAATCTTTACAAACATTTTTTTACGATATTCTACTTATAACTTTTAGCCTACAGTGTTTTTTTTTGTAGGATTTATTAAATTTTGAAGATCCTCTGAATGTAGAAGCTGCTGAAATGTATAGGAATTCTAAAGAAGAGTTCAAAATAAAGGTTATGGAGTATGTTACTACTTATGCTAAAGACTAGATTACAATTTAATGCGTTCTTGTATTTCTTTCACCTTGAATTAGATATTTGCTGTATTTATTATGTATAGATAAGATAGAAGTACAGTTATCTGCTTAAAAAGGCATCCTGGATAATTTAGAATTGAAAAAAATCAGAAAAAATATATTAACATTACATTTTACTAATTTTTTTACATTTGAGGCAAATGTATTCTTAGTATGTGTCAAAGATGTTTAAAAAATGTAAATTTAAATAATTTTTAATATAAAATGGCCATGAATCTATTAAAATAGAGCATACTCTTGGCATAGATTGTAATGCTTTGAGATATTAAATTGTGCAGGCATATATATGTATAAAAAATATTTTTATATTTGATAACTTCTCAAAAAATTAATTTTGTTAACTATGTGCAGTTTATGATTTAAATTTTTCGATAGATGCTTGTAATTTATTTATAGTTAAAAATTGTGATAAGTACGATTGCTTTTTCATTTGTAAATGTGTAAGAAGGAGTAATGATATTCTAAAGTATTTTCGGTGTTAAATTACCTTTTCAGCGTTTTACTTAATAGAGTAAAACGACTTTCTCAGTATTTGTCTGAAAAAAAATAAAAGACCAATTAATTTTTATTTCAGTATTTTTATTTATTTCACTCTTCATACACTTAAATCCTAATACAGTATTATAATTTTCCTATTTTATTCTACCAAGATGGCATTACGTGGATATTTAATGAAATAAGTTACTTACGTAGTTACTAAGTTACAAATTTTCTAATAAACTAAAATTTTAAATAATGACTTAAAAATAACGACGCTCTTGTACTATCATTTCCTATTATCTTTTATTCGAGAAACGCAACACTTCCTCAAATGACCCGTTGTTCAGCTTATGTATTTTTTGATATATAGAACAAAACTTTTTTTTCTGTTTGGTATATCTATGCATTGAGAGCGACATAGCGGCAACGGCGCAATCCTCTTTTGAGCCCTAGGCGTGTCCTCTCCTATCTCTAAGTTCTACGCGAAACACGGCCGATCGGATGCGCTGATGCCAATTATATCCTTTTACATTATAACCGCATGCCAAAGAGGAAAAAAATTAATATATAATCGTACAATCAATATTTCATTGTAAAACAAATTGGGATTTTTATTTTTCCAGAAATGAAAATGTATCATATGTGATACAGTAGCATCTATGCAAAAAGCAAGAAAATAGTTGTGCTATGGTATACTAGATGGCAGGCTTCTTCTGGTTTCTTTAATTTTATGACAAACCATCCGAGAACCAGTTGAACAAGCCAGAAAAATCGACTTTTCTTGAGTTCTAAGTCGAAAAATGTAACAACTCAACGTTTTCGTAGTAATGTATCTCGCAAAGTATTAAAATTTCGCATCGGAAGAAGTGTCGTTTACATTTAAATCGTTTTTGTTGTACTGTCCAGTACAATCATTTCTAAGCTACAACTACATATAAATAATAATAAATATGATTAATACGAATCACGAAAATTCCAAAATAATCGGGCAGTACATAATATCAATTTCAATTAAATAACTAAACTAATCCCATATAGCCGTTCTTGCTAGTTCGATAGCCTTGTCCCATGGGAATTGGGGCGCGCCTAGCTCTCTGGATATCCTGGATTGCCTGTCCCTTCTCCCATCTACGCACATCATTCCGTAGACCCTTATTCCTGGAACACTGGCGTATGTAGGTTGATCATGTGACATGGGACCCTCTGGAAAGAATAAAGAGAAAATGTTAATTAAATATAGTTTTAAAAACCGTATGTGTAGACCAAAAACTAAATCGATTGATTTTCGAATATATAGGTAGTATTCAAAAATTTAATTTTCAGCCAAATCAAAAATAAATGTTTAATTTAGGAAAATTGATAAATTTATTCCTCGTTTTTTTTAGTTTTGAAGGTGCCGTTTTAACAGTATTAATTCTATACCCAATTTCGAACAAATAAGGAAAATAAATAGTATGGCGACATGGATTCAGCTTTAACTACAGAGAAACAGAGAAATGATACATATTTTCCGCAACCAGTCGAATTGAAATGTATAAGTATTTTTGCTTGGAATGCCATGTTAAATCGCATAAAAGTGCTATTTTGTACAAAAAAAACGTTTTCCGATTCACCGAATACCGACGCGATATGTATTCTGCGTAAGCAGGGGCGAATTAGTACGCCCATGTATAAAGTTCATGCACATTGATATCACGGTGGCATTATTAGTAAGGGCAGAATGGGATTTTGACTCCAGTTTTGGGTAAATTTTTACTACAGAATCCAATAATTTTGAAATTAAATATTTAGCCGATCGTTTGAGCTATGAATATGCGGTTTGTGGCATTAAACTTTTCTCCTTGAACTCTACAAAATAATATAAGTATCTTATTGAGATAGAATAAAGAGGAAAGATGTTATGAGGATGCTAAATGTGTTCGCACCTTTTCATTACACTCTTCTACGTCATATGTCAAACTCGAGCTAGTGGATCTAGTCTGTTTTGGTGAGAATAAATGCCATTTTTTTAAATATCTTCATTTAAATGATATAAAAACATTTTAATTCTGTCAATCTTCAAATATAACATTATTGACTTCAAATAGGTCAAAATACGACTCTTAAGTCGCCATTTTGAATACACTTTTCCATCATTCGAAGTGCGTCCATCCGTCATATCACAAAATAGTGTTTATGTCGCCTCTATACTTCATTCTATCTCGATGAAATATCCCGATACGGTTTCGATATGCATTTTGCTATATGAGATAAGACGTATAAGATTCTTGCGTAAATAAATCACGAATGAATTGTTTGTAAGGACAGAAAACAGGATTTTAGATCAAATTAAGGAAATTTTAACAGAACAATCAGGGATTTTGATAAATATGACGGCAACCGTGAGCTAGGAAGATGCGGTTTGAGGCGTTGAATTTCTCTCTAAGAATAAATACTACAAAGTGCTACCTATATATAAAATTTGGAAAATCGGTAAGTGATTTTTAAAATTATTCTTGGCCCATAAACGAATACCCCCTTACAATAAAATAAATAAATTTAAACATTTTCTTACCCAGTATACTTGTCTCTGGACATCTACAAATAACTAGATAGTGTGATTTCCCGCTACGTATGTTCTGTAATGCTAAAAGTGACCAATCCCTTGGTGACCTACACAGTCTCATTTCAGCTGTAGGCTCGCAGGTTTTTACCAAGGTTAGAGCTCGCTGAAAAGGTAAGAAATAGAAAGTTATCAAAAAAGGTAGATACGCTTAGAATTATCTGTAAGTGAAGTAATATAATTTATTTACCCTTGCATTTTTGTCAGTCATCAGCTCGGTTGTATGCTGATCATCTGCGTTCAGAGAGGCTGAACAGGGATCCCTGTATCTAGAAGGGCAGGCGCATAAGGGCTGGGTCCAGTTAAGTCTTATATATACTGCATTACAGACCTAAAAGCATATTAAATAAAAAAATAAGCATGCCTGAGTTGTAAATTTATATAAATATTCGATATGATATTCCTGTTGAGGTCACTGTTCTTCTCTAGCGCTTTATCTATTGCTATTTTTTGAAAAGTGAAGAGTGTGGGAGTCGAGAAAGTAAAAGAGTTAATCTTATTTGAAGCAAAGTTGTGGCACGATGTCGCCTCGTAATATTATTATATAGTGTTTAATTTCTGTCTGTTTACAAGGTCCATTTAATAAATCTACTGTCACTGTTATTGTCAGTGGAACACAAATTCCGTTATCACTAATATAGCTTATTTATAATGGCACTATACTGGTAGGGAAAATATTAATTTTTTACATATTAACAGGGGTCAAAAATTAATTTTAATATTAAGAGAAGGAGATCAAATAATAGTATCTTAATATTAGTTCTATTTTTGTATCTTTTTACAAATTCTTCTACTTTAATATTTCGTTTAACTCAACCCTGATGATAACCCTAGGGTCGAAAGCGTCAGTTGAAAATATTTAATAAAAATTACAGTGGTTGACAGATTTAAGTGTTTTTTCATTCATTCGGATCACTTTGAGTAAAGATGGATAATATTTGGAATTCAAAAAATAAATATTTTCCGCTGCAGAAAACAGGTTGGAAACGTAGTCTACTCCATGTCGAAAATTCAAGGCAGTTTCATCTGATAAGAAATTTTTTTTGGATGATGAGGGAGTTTTTTAACTATCTACAGGAGCTACTATTACATACATTTATCACGCATATTTTTTGATACGTTAAAAGAAAATTGCGTAAAGGTGTGTCGTTTCATCAAGACAATACTCCTAGTCATACCTCTTGTATTGCAATGGCTGCTATTGATCAAAAGGGATTCCAATTGGAAGAACATCCATCCTACTAGCCATATTTGGTTCCTAGCGATTACAGACTTCTCGAAACTGAAAAAACTTTTGCGGAAAAGATTTCAAATGACAATGGTGTCAATCGTAAATGAATGGTTTGAAGAGGTTGGAGAAAATGTCTTCCGTGACGCTCTTGAAGTAGATAAGGGGTGTATATACAAAAAGATATTCCGCAATTTATTTATTATATTTATATCCAATTTTTATCGCTATATTTACCTGTTGTATTGCACATTCCGGTAGCAAATATATATGTTGATTGTGAGGGTAGTAATGGTATTTCGTTGGTTTCACCAGAGCTGCACTAGCACCAGCTGGCAGAGGCAGCAAGTTCTGTAAAAAAATGACAAAATATAGTGCCTTGTTTAGAATTTTTATAAATGATTACATATTTTAAACAGATTAAAAGAGAAAATGGGTTTTTTAGTTCATATAGTTCGATGTGTAAGAATATTTTCAACCTTCATAGGATGTTCGAAGTCGTACCTTTTGCCAGTTATGGTATTGAAAGTACAGAATTTAGCCTGGAATTATTACTTTCTTTCGACATAAGTTTTAATTGAGTCTTGGTATTTACTGAATTTGTTTTGTCATTAAGATTTTATAAATAAAAGGAAACACACCATGTTCCAGTTAACATAAATAATATACAAATGTTTTATACTTTTTTTCAATAAAATATCTTCCGATCTGTATCTGTATTCTTTCTTTAACAGTCTCATTTGTGATTTTAATTATATTGATTAGGTCTTTAGGCACTTGCAAGTCTTCCAAAACTTTCCGTAGTTTTTCTCGTTCTATTGTGTCGTAAGCTGCTGTCAGGTCAATGAATGATAGGTATAATTCTTCTCCTTCTGCTGTTTTTTTTTATTAGTCGTCTCAAGATACGTATGTTCTCATTTGTCTGTCTTCTTGGCCTGAAAGCTGCTTGTTCTTCTTCTAATTTTGATTCTACATATTCTTTTAATTTAGTCTCTATTATTATTGTGCAAATTTTAAAACTAGTTTGTGCTAATCATATTGGTCTGATCTTCTTGCTTTTAATAATATTATGTTGTTTTCCCAATCTTTTGCATTTTTTGACTTTTCCATGCCTATCCGCATATACTCCACAACCATCCCTTTCCTTTTTCATCTAGTCATTTAATCATCTATGGAGCTATGCTATTATCGCCACTTGCTGTTTCTACTTTGATTTTATGTATAGCCTCTTCTATTATTCCGTTTTTTTAATTTCTTGCAGTTGATGTTCATTTAATTTTTCTCTGTCTATATTTAATATTTCCTTAATCGGCGTACTGCCAAATTCATAGTGTTCTCTCCAGGTTTTTATTATTCGTGCTCCTTCTGTTTCCAGTTTGTTATTCTATGGCTCTAATTTCTTCTGTTTTCTCGTAATCTTTTTATTTTTGTCCAAAATTTTCTATTATCTGATGAATATAATTTCTGTCATTTCTCATCCAACCTCTCCAGGAGTTGTATTTCTCTTTTTTAACTGTTTCTTTTACATATGTATTTTATTACCATATTCATTGTCTGAAGTTATTTTTCTTTTAATAATAATTTTTTATTTCTTTATTGTTTTTTTAAATGTTTATTATATTTTAATATTCCACGTATATTTTTTTTATACTAGTATTTCTATCGTTTTCCAAGTGTCCATTTAGTATTTTTAATTTCAAATCGTTCGAAATGGGGAAGGGAAACAAATCCATTCATTATTATAGAAATGTTGGTATATGTTTTATCGGCGAAAGTGTTTCAGTGTTTTAGTGGTTAAATAGGCGTAGCTATAACAGCTTTACTTCGCCACTGGTTGCATCACTCTTCTTTTATTCCTATGTATTGTAAATTTGTAAAATACCTATATATTTTTCTTTTCTTCCAATAAAGCCGGTTTATTATTATTATTATAAGTTAATTTTCACTCGTGCTTGTTATAATTTTGCATGCAAAAGACTAAAATGGTAGAGACCTATTGTGGAAGATAAAAAAAAAGAGAATTTGCATCATCAGATGATAGAGGCATTACAAAGAAAGGAGAACCGTCTACAATTATCAATGCTAGTAGGTCAGCCAATGCTTCTTATTCTTATTGTTCACAGGAAAGTCTATGCATGACATGGATCGTCGTACGCGGTTTGCGATTTTTTGTAAATGAGCCCCGTCTTACATATCTCGGTGTAGTGATGCGTCCCCTCTAAACGCATTTTAATAAGCTATTATGGATACGATGCGAACAGAAAACGGCTAGGTGTAAAAAAAATCCAATAAAATACACAAATTTTAATAAATTTATACAAAAATACACAAATAACAAAAACAATAGTTAAACTGATAACTAAAACAAACACCTAAAGTAGTCTAAAAAGGTCGCTGCGTCTCAAGATATGACCCGCACAACTCTCTAGTGGTAGGTACAATGGCTTACCCAATGCCCAAACTAAAAGGTCAAATAACCCATCTTAAATGGTAAGGGTAGGGCAAACTAAATTATACCTAAGCGGGTCATGATGACCCGCAGACATCGGTCCCGGGTTAAGGCCACTGCTTAAGACTCCTCTGGCGACTATCTATTTAAATCTAAACTGTGTGAAGATTAATATTACCCTTGAATAAATTTATGTTTCATATTTAAACACTTCTAACTTTTAAAATAATTGTAGATTCTTTAGATTTAACCAATAATAATGCCAACATTTTACATAGGTATAGACAAAAATTTGAAAGGAAAATAAAACAAAAAATGATTTAAACAACTTATTTACTAATTTTTGGCTGGACAATCAGGTTGACTATCAGGATGAGCTACCCTAAAAGCAGGGTGTTCATTTAATCCCTGATCAATTCTTAAAATATTGGGATACCGTTGCAAATCTACATTGAATCTAACCATGGCGTGGAAAACTTGCGGTACAAGACAACAATCCGCGATGGTTATTTCATCTCCAACGCAATATTTTCCCGAATTAGCTGATAACAATTTTTCTACAGCATTGAATCCCCTGGTTATGAAATAACTCGCCCAATCCTTTTGTTGTTCTTTAGGAATTTTCTTCAGGGCTGACAAATTTTGGTAAGGTTGCATTCCTGATGCTATTATTTCACTGATTTCTCTTACCTGTAAGATTTAAAAATATTTAATTAAAATTTTTCATTTTATCTGCTTAAATTTTCACGGACATGGCAACGTTGCATGTATGATTTTTCAATAATTTTTATTTTCCAGAAAGAAAATAGGTACCTACCTAAATTAAAATATCTCACTCCATGTATATAGGTAGATAATAATTAATTAAATATGTAGGTATCAAATAATACCTATATACCTAATTATAATATTGTTAATTAAAGAGTAGGTATAAAATAATACTAATAAAAAAATATGCAATAGTAACCTTGGCTCTTTGTATGATATCTTTAGGCATTATTGGTTTTTGTGGTCTTGTTTCTTCCAAATAATGCATAATGTTTAACGATTCCACCAGAGTAACTTCATCTATGTGCAATGCTGGAACCTGTTCCATAGGGTTAATTTTCTTGAAATTTTCTTCGTGTTGTTCACCGCCATCTCTAACCAGAGACACGGGTATTATTTCGTAAGGAATTTCTTTCAAATTCAAAGCAATACGAACCCTCCACGCAGAGGAACTTTTCCAGAATGAGTATAAAATGGTTTTTCCCATTGCACCGACGTTAAATGTTAAATTTTGTAAATTGTTGAGGTAAAAAATAATAACATAACCTGTATCACTGTTCACTAAATTACAAGTAATGTTCAAGGTCTGTCCAGGTTCTTCAAAAATATATTATTAGCTTTGTTCCGCTTACCAATTTTATAACGTTTCAGAATTGCGTGAAATTAGTTGCGCACTAAATTACACACGAAACAGTCAATCCTAGAGTGTCCTAGGACTGACTAGATTTGGAGAAACCCGAACACGTAAATTTAAATGCGCATAATTATAACGATTTTAAACCGTCCTCAAAAGTAAGCCGAACAAAGTAATTGAGAATTATCAGAGGACCAGTTGACCAGTGGGCAGTTTAATATTTGTACGCGACGAATAAGTTGGAATTCAACTGTTCCACTGGTTCTCGGTTGGTTTGTAGGTATCACAAATAATAGTAATACAGCTACTGACAATTATTATGCATTCATCAAACATGATAAAAATGGTGCGAAAATAAACATGTCGCTCTTAATTTCGACATCCTGTCCCAATCACCGGCTGCGACGTTTTCGACGATTTTTTTAGAGCTTATAATCAGAAATTTATCAAGCTTGGCGTAAAATAATATACAACTAAAGTGCGTTCGACACCTTGATTATTTCGTATTGTAACGTTCATTTATTTAAATAGTTTGTTATTTAAGTTTATTTTCACTAAATACATTTATTTGTACTAAATACAACACTAATTTATATCGCTTTTACTAATACACTAGTTTATATTGACAATATTTATCTGAACAGAACAATCTCTTGAAAAAACCTAAACTTTTAACGTCAAACAGCCTATTTATGTACAAATGTTACACTCCAGATTTGTTCTCGAAAGTTCTAGACGTCCTTTCACTAAGAATCAGCCAGAACCAGAATATACATCAGCGGATTCACCATTTATTTGACTGGACACTGGTGCATTCACCAAAAATCATCATCATTCTAGTAGGTACATTCTAGGTTGGATAATTCACTTTGACTAATTAAAGCGTAATCGGACTGGTGGAAAATGGTTTGCCCAAAAATATAATCATAGATAACGCTAACATAATAATTTATGCTCTACAGAGTTCTTTTAGAAATAAAATTCGAATTGTTCAAGATATTTTCTTAGAAATCAATAATATCGTCAAATTAATTACAAGAGGAATTTGAATATCAACACGGAAGTAAATTAGGTTTGATTTAGAAGAAGAAGTTAAACCTGACCTTTCACCCCATTTAAATAAGATTATTTGATTAATTGAATTTGTGTTGTTACGATCATCATTAAAGGTCTTTATTATTACTCTTCCTTGAATTTTATCATTAAGTCAAAGCATAAATATTTTTATTTCATCATGCCACTAATGATAAATAAAAAGAATATCTCTTTAATTAATATATAAATACTTATTGGTAACCAATCCAGTCCTGTTCACGCCTACTCCTTGATCTCGCCAAAATTCTGAAATTCGAAACTATATTTTTAAGTTCTAATTTACAAAATAGAAAAGTTAATGAACTTTTGAATAGAAACAACAGTTTGGTAGTCACGGATCTATATAATACAACACACAAATAATTTATAACAAAATTTACACTTGTGATCAAACCATCATAAATAATGTGAATAATTTGTTTTACCATTGTGATGCCGAAGTTTCTTATGCCTCTTAATTTGTTGTTGGATTGTGAGCTCAGCTTCATTGCACTTAGGCCTTTTTAGGTTCACTGTGCATGATTCAGAAGCACTGCCTCTCATCTTCTGAGACAGCCTGTTTTCTTAAAGTGGTTGATAACGTCGCCGAGAGGTGTCTCTAGATGCATATATTCTTTTAGTTCCTTTTAAGACAGATCTGTTCTATTTATTACCCCGATACTCCAGAGGACGCCACCCTATTGGTTCTTTGATTAGACATTGTTTCCATTCTATCACTCTCTATATAAGTATATATCGATTATTTTTAGCCTACTGATATTTTTATGTAAAACTTGCAATATTATTAAAAATTTGAAGGTAAAGTCAAAAACGCATTTAGCAAAAGAACACCAAGAACATAAAGAATACAGAAGACTTATATATACTAAGGTAATGTAGATATTGAACAAAAATATAATACAATTACTGCACAAATATATTATTACAGTCTGTTCGCTATACTTACGCGGGTTTCGGATTAATTAATTAATTATTTGTAACAAATTTAGTACCTACCCTAATGTTATTTTAATTTAAATCTGACCATTATGGCAATTTTACCTAATTTCTTGGGAAGAGGATTATTGGAACTGGTTGTCAATGACTAATTTGCATAATTTTGTTAATCCGAAACCCGCGTAAGTATAAACACAGGTTTATCATGCTTTTTAATTCGGTCGCCTAAAAAACGTGTGCACCTCGGCCGTATAATCTTTTTTGGAAGAATCAGGAATATGCGGCCGAGGAATAGCCGAGGCAAATCAACTTTACGGCCTTGATAACAAATCACTATTTTTTATTATTTCACTTTTAAAACATACAAATAGATCCAAAAATGATTTAAAAAAAGGATTCACTAACCTATTTAAATCAAGAACGTGATTCTTCATAAGATAAAAAAATCATCGTTTTGTTTAAACGTGTGTACATTATAAATAATTGTGCAGAACAAGACAGTAAAAGTCATTAGTGAAAAGGAACTTTATGGTGACAAGCATGTAAGAAATGACTATCTACAATTACTTTATTAGTTGTTCATTTTACAAATTATTTCAAGCAGTTATGAGTGCAGTCTGCAATAATTAGTTACAGTAAATTTATTTTGTGCAGTCTCAATATTAGTGTTGGGACAAAGCGATCTTTTTTGTTAATAAAATTGATGAATTATTGTTGGTAACTAGTGTCTAGCAATAGATGGGTTGTATTAACTGAAATTGTAAGATATTAAAGATAGTCAATAGGGAAAAGGTGCAAATGATAATGATGACATCTTAAATGAAAATAAAACGGATATCGTGTATTTTCTAGTTCTACTTTGAGACTAATTAATTGCATGAAATGCTTTTATGTGACCTGGTGACCAGAGTGTTCTTGCCTTCCCTGTAACACAAAGTGAAGCGGTGGCAAGCCTATTAGTTCTTCCATTGCAGCTGAGTGGGTTATTTTCTCTGACCTCTTGGACACTCAAATCTTTGTATCTTGCTTAGTCTCGGTATAGCAGCTCTTTGTTGCGTCTTTGGTCACCACACCAAAGCTGCGTATGGCACCATGTTGTATATCCAATATATCATACCAGGTTTCAATTTTTTCCCAAAGAAGCGTCTTGCCATTATTATAGTGATGTTTTCGCTTTCCTTGTCACTTTCCAAATAGTGAGTAAAGGTAAGTTTGAAATTAATTGTAAACCTGAAATACTTTTTCTTCCTCTTTACTTGGGTGTTTTCACCTCGTAGGTTTAGAGGTCTTGTTAGTCTCTCTAATTTTCTTCTGCGCGTCAATACAACAGGTAGATTTATTGTTACTATGTTTAGAGCTTCTTGAATCTACCTGTAGTGTTCTATTAACTCTGTACCATGATCACTAGATCATCGCCATATCCCATGGTTTTATGTCTATTATTTTTATGAGTACCCAGCAACTTATTCATGACTACATTCCACAACAGTGGAGACAGTACCCTCGCAAGCCCGGCTGGGCTGGCTGCCATCATCTCTCCCTTAATGGTTGTATATATAATTCTTCCTCTTAGCATTGAGCCGATCAGGTATGTTTGACCACGTTCAAAAAATTTAATTAGAACACAAGTGTTGACATATAAAATAATAACTAGATCTGATAGGATCATGGGAATAAATGGAAAGTATAATCATCAGAGATAACTATAACGATACCTAAATGGAAAAAAATTGATCAATTTCTTCAAATAAGTAAATATAGAAACAATCTGTGGATAGGTATTCATGCGCGCCGGCCCTGGGATTTTACGATAGAAGTTTTGTAGGTATTGTCTTATTAAATTATGTTATATATATCGGCGGTAGGTAGAAATTCCTATTAAGACCTCGATCAATTTGTAGTATCTGTAAAGAAAATAAACGAAAAATAATGGGATTTATATCTAAACATCTTGTAAAAACAACGAGTGTGGTCGAATAGAAAAATAATTCAAAAAGAAGATTAATAGTCCGGCATAATATTGACAATTCTGCGTTTTTGTTTTTCTAATTACGTAATAGTGACGTGTAAAAATGTCACGAATCAAGCGTATCAAAAACAAAATGAAGTTGGTAATGAATTTAACAATCTATTTAAAACGGTGCTAGTGCGGTGTTTTCTCAATTACTAACGTATAAAATGAGAGTGCATCTTGACTGGAATATTACTTCGGATGAGATTTCTTCTTATTTTGTAATTTTCTAGATTGTAGAAGTCTCTATAGAGGAGAGTATTCCTTGAATTGCCGCCTGTTTTATAAGGTGCATCAAAAAAGTAATTTTTGTTTAATTTGCAACTATTATCTTTTTCTGATTATTTCATTTGCAAACAGCGTTCTGTCATTATGCAGCTGTCTTGGCGGCTGAACACGTAATTTTGAATTGACTGGAACATATTTATTTCACTTTAAATAGGCGTAGCTAGTAAACGTTTATATTCTATTGAAAGGGGTTTGCAAGAAATTTGTAGTTATTCTTCTAAATCATCTAAGTTGATATTCATAAATTTTTATTACTTTCAGTACTTTCAGTACTTTCATTTTTGGCTGCTGTATCAAAAGCGGTTTTCAAATCAATGAATCTTAAGTGTCATTCATATTTTTATTTTTATAATACATTCGAGGAGTTTTTAATCTATAATTCACTCTACGGTTTAGTTTACTAAAATCAAATATGATCAAGATAATGTCACCGTTTCGTCAGTTTCCTTACAGAAAACAAATACTCTGGCTAATACCTTGACAGGCATTAAGTCTTTACGTATAGACTGCAGATATATAAAATAATTTGGCTTAGGTACTACGAATCATGAATAACGATTTTCTCATTTTCTTTTTGGAGATGAAGCATCATCCTAAACTATGGTTTAAAAATGGTTCGCAGAATCCAAGCGTGGAAGACCATATCGTTTGATGACGATCTTCAATTTGTTTTCCGGAAGGTATCGTTTGCCCGCGAATCATCATTCATCATAAAGCGCTCATACAACACGACGAGCTGTCAATTTTTTGACCAGTAGCAACCATTGACGGCTAGTATCGCTTTTTGTATTTCATTTTA